TTAATTCACAAAGTATTTAATAATTTTTAAACTTTAGAATAAAAATTTGTTTATTTTGTATTGGCTATACGCACCATGATACTTTTTGTATCGTGTCCCACTCTTATCAGCATTTTCTTGAGCTGTGTTTACAAAGGTTTCAATCACTTTAACAGGTTCTAATTCAAACTGCTGTGAACTTGACCCTTAAAAATCTGTTAGCGATTATGTACCTTATCACTAAAGTTGACACCTATGCATCATTGATATCATCTTTGAAAATAGAAGATACATTTAAGGTACAACCAGATGTGTGTGGTAAGTTAAATGAAAACAGCTACATGTTGATGCAGTTTGCCCTCATGCCACTGATGGCATCCACATGTTCCTCTTCATACAGTCAATCCAAACCTCATCACATCCACCTAAACAGCAGGTGTTTGAACTTTCAACGGGTTTTGAGGCTTGGGTTAAGCAAAGATCTTTCAAAAATGCAGAAATCAAAACAAAGAGATGAATTTGTTTGCATCTTTCCTTCTCCGTTTCCTTCTTTGTCTCTTTCGTTCACATAATAACAAACTTGGTATATACAAACATCCTCACACAAGCACACAGTCTATTCCCAGGTTAATGATCTCGTCTGCCTGGCCTCCTCAGACAGTTAAACACAAGACAAGGCTGACAGCTTTACGGCGCTCTTAGCAGGGAAGAGCAATGGAGAAGTAAACATGCACACACACTCTTTGTCTTTGTCTAATTTTAAGACATACTTGCACGGAGTAAAACAATCACTGTGACTTTTTAAAAAGGCTTTCTGAACACTACAACAAGATCACAGTGAAAAGCAATGATTACCAGTACAAATACATGTGAGTTCATATTAACGTTGCCATTTGTTTCAACTTTTTGCCGAACTTAAATTGTGCCTTTTCTCACTATAATCATTTTTCCTTTTAGGGCTTGAAACGTATTTAAAACTGCATTTGGACCATGATTCTCTGGTGAAACCAACACTATAATCAATGGTTACCGAGCCAATAGCCTAATATCATGCAATGTCTGTCTGCTTCTTGTTGCTCTGAGACTCTGAGGTTTTGAGCAATAATTTGACGCATTGCAAAGACGAGAGAAAGAGATGTGTAAAGACAGATAGATACAAAGAAAACAACAGATGTGTGAAAGGACAGTGAATCTTTGCCTCATCCTGCTTGAAGCACAGCAGACGAAAAAAAAAAAAAATGGACCAAATTCCTTGCCCAGAGGTGATAAATGGGAGCAGCGGGCCCTAATCAGATGTTCCGCCAGAGTTATCTGCTCCCTTCGATAGATCGTTACCAGCCGCGAGTGTGCCGCACTTCACCTCCTTATCTCGTCACACTCCATCCCACGCAACCATCGCTCCCAACTGGAATGTCGGATGGAGACATGGGACTGGACAGGAGAAGAAATGAGGACAGAGAGTACAAACAAGGCAAGAGGTGTAATCTCTGTTCTTAGCCCCAATCTCTGCTGCCATCTCGTCAAGTCAGGGAGTTATGGCGTGTGAGGGAGAGATATCATCAGGGTGGGTGGGCGCTGGGGTGGAGGAGTGGGGTGTGTGTGTGTGTGTGTGTGTGTGTGTGTGTGTGTGTGTGTGTGTGTGTGTGTGTGTGTGTGTGTGTGTGTGTGTGTGTGTAGCGGGGTGTTAAGAGCAGGGTGTGTGACAGAGATGACTTCAAGTGTAAATGGAATGNACCCATTATACACACCTATGTACTTCGTACTTAAGTGCTAATCTCTTGTACATAAGTATACAGGATTGTCCTCACCTTTTTCGCCCTATTCACCCGGTTGTAGAAAAAACTCTCAGAGTCGATTACTTATGACATGGGTTAATATTTAACGGAGACTCTAATAAACTAATAGACTGACTTGTTACATTTTACAATGGCGCTTTCGCTGATAGTGTTTAGTAATTATTAAGATTAAGGATTTATTAACCAGTAATAATCTGTTGGTCACAAGTGGTGTCGTCCACTTCGTAGGTCTCTTAGGAAGTAACGTGTTCAAGTATTGTAGCGATATTCAGTCAAACTACAAGTCAGCTCCGGACTCGAAGGTCTTCCTAAATACCTATACAAACAAAATACTGTTCAAGAGTGGGACTAGCAGTTGCACAACCGCAACACCTCGGCCAGTCGTCCCGCTCAGCGACACTTTCGGCGAGAGGCGGGGTGTAAAAGGTTTGGGTATGTAAAGATTTTTATATATTGTTGCTCATAGTATTTAGGTTCCCGTCTTATGATTGTGTTTACATAATAGTATTCACACTGACTAGACTTTCTTGTGTCGTAATCTGTTTGTGTTACACATTCCGTTTTGTATCTATGTCTCCAATACTCATCCGACAGGGTTATGGTAACACACGGCCCGAGACCTAGCAGACTAAAAGCCATCATTCTAGTCGACGTTTTATACCGCGCCAGTGGCGAAAGTCTATGAGCGTAAAGCCAAAGTAAGCTGCCGTAAGTAAAACAAGATTGTCAACAAAAATACAATAAACAATTACAATATGTGCGGTTAAACACAAGAGTTATTAACTTTTTTATAACGTAACACAAACAATGGAAAAACAACGTCAACGGATAATACAGAATTCACATATAACGACCGAAGGATAGCGACACGTACAGACAAAGCGAAAGAAAAAGACGCCACGCACCCCCCTTGGAAGGAAATGATAAAACATACCTGTACGAAATAAAACTATCCTCTCAAAATACCGACGAACTGTCCTTCAACACACAAGATACTTTGTTGCACTGCCCCTAAATTGCCTCTTTTCAGGCTATCAAAGATAGTATATTGCTCTAGCCTCCTTTCATTTAGTATTCTCAAACCAATTCCACATCCGTGGTGCCGGCTCCCGTGTTCGCGATATGCAACTAATAACCCTCTAAAAGTTCAGTTAAGTTAATTTTTCGCTCTATTATTTCGTTTTGCGGTTATATTGCTCTTAACTTTGCGTTATCGTGAGGTGGTATGCTTAAAGCGCCATGTCGGGATCAATTATCATAACAAAAGAGGAGGACAGATCTATGGACTACGTGACAGGTATTAAAGTTAGTTTTTCAACTGTAAGTTTTCGGTCTGTGTGTCGACAAAGATAACACGTAACAAATTTCCGTGTCAGGTCAAATTCCCTAGAAATGTTAAATAACTATCTCAGGTCTAGTTAATAAAAGTGTAGGAACGGTGGTTATAAATACAAGACCATGTGAAACTACAAGAAACTAATTCAGGGAGTAACCAGTAAGGATGCTCACTATACAATGTCCCTCCTGTTTCAGGTCGGCACACATGTTTCCAAGGTGAAAGGGGAATTGGTTTCCCTGTCATACCTCCTTTAACGTGTATAAAACGATCTTACCCCGCCCTACACTGGAGGTATTTTGTTGCGGAGTGAATGTTCATCAAGTACGAAATAATTACTCAACTATTATTTGTGACCCCCTAATAAAAGTCAAACATTACAGACTCCACACCAGCTTTTGTTTATTACAACTGTCGGTGGTGTCCCATTGTAGTGTTCTCGTATAGAAAATACGGATATACCGGCAGCATCTCCGACTTATGTCCATACAACCCGCGCCCCTATCACACTTAACTGCACACAACACACACTCGTTTCGGAGTGAACATCAATGCCCGTTTTCCCGAACGGACATGGCAGTGAATTCTACGCCCTGCATAAAAGTCAAACAGAATCTGTATAACAACTATGTATACTCATGTCCGTATGTACTCTGTCTGTAGTCTAATAACACCTATACGTGAAGCCCACTCTATACAACAACATGGACCACACAAATATCCCCGCCCGTCAACCACATAGGTATCCCGGCTTCTTTCAGCAGGACCTCGAGAAGCGCGGGAGGCTACTCTTCATAATGTCACCAGTCCTAGATAGGTTCGGTTGGACGGTCTTTTCTCACTTTAAGAATAGTTTATTAATTCTTAGTGTGCGAAGCCCAACACGTCCGGATTACATTTAACGAGATAAATAACCGCTTTTTTGTGAAAATGAGACAGACAACCAAAAGTACTGTACTATTATTATGATCCTCACTCAAAGTCACGTGCTCGCAGATAATCTCACGTCTGTACATCCTTCTAATATCTAACGTAGACCGTCCTCCTCCGAGTATGTCAATGGCGGCGATCTTTACTGCGCTCGAACTACTTTGTAATGCTCGTCAGAAGCGCTGCTACTTTCTTCAGACGCTTAAAAGGTAGGTGCTGATGCGCTATTTTGAGGCATGGTAAGAAGTGTCCAAAAATAAGCCGGTTGTGTTCAGGGATAAGTAATTTATAACGTAATGCTACGAACTACTCGAGTCTAAAGACAAACTTGTAGATAAATATTTGTGGCAACGCCGTGTACAGGTATACAGGACAGCTATGTATATGAAGGACACACAACGGTCATTAAAGACCTGGAAAAGTCATGGAAATTCAAAATGCTAATTCCAGGCCCTGGAAAAGTTTTGGAAAACAATATTTTTCCCAAAGTTTTGGAAAACTCATGGAAATGTAACTAAAGTTGCATCAAATATAATATATATTTTATCTAATCGCCAAAATAGTAATACTATAATGATAATAAATACTGTATCGTGTAGTAAGGAAACGTAAAATGGCATTTAACTGACGAGGGATTTAGCTGGTGAGAGATGTTAGTGGCTTGATTTGATTTGTTGTAAATAGGCACAACATGTTTCATATACAGAACTTATTTTCCTGTTCCATGTTAAAATAAACCATTTTCTGTGGTACCACTGAGAGAGAGTCATTTTTTTGGTCATAGAAAATGAGGTAAAGGTCATTGAAAATCATTGGTGAAAAAGTGTATGAACCCTATATGTGAATGCATCAGGCCTTATTTTGGCACAAACACGTAATCATCCTCAGCTAACCTCACATTCCTGTTGGTCTGCAAACATGCTCCTCATCCCTGCTCCTCGTCCTCCTGTGCTCACCCAGGGTTCAGGTCACCTCCGGCTGCCATCTCCATGAAGGAGAAGGAGCCGTTCGTCATCCCGACTGCTGAGGTAAACTCTCTGTCACAGCGCAGGGACAGTCATCATAGTGAAGAACATCAGGTGTCCTGGTGGCTCATTGGATGTGAACCGTGTGCTCACAGCAGCTCTAGTTAAGCTCTTTGTCCCAAGCTAGCTGCTCTATGTTAGTCTTTGCTGTCCGGAGAAAGAAGCATTGGAGCAGAACAGAATATTATCCAGTGACTAATGCTAAAAAAAGAACAGATACAGTATTTATGGAAGGGGCTATTTTTAGATGTTTAAAAATGACATCAATTTTCTGAATGTGAATAATGCAGTGGAGTTAATGGTGTAGTGGGTTGTGGACGTAAAACACCTGATGCCTAACCGACCTTTCTGAACTACCTCTCAGTGTCCACAGTGCTTAAAATAAAGCAGAGCTAAATCATCTCAGTCATAAATGTCCAACGGCACATCCTTCACGCATCATTACCCTCCTCATGGTGTCACTTAGCAACTGATAATGCTCCTCCTGAAGCACCATCCGCTGATGAAGCTCATTGTGGCTTGATAGGATATGACTTGACTTCCTCAGTCTGCACAGTTTGTACACATGTGACTTTTCTCTTTGTCCGCCTGTTAGGGAGTTACCAACGTCTCTATGTATGCTTCTGTTTGTGTTGCTGTTTTATTCCTATCTCCATCTGTTTACTTTTCTCTCTCTCAGAATTTCGAGGGAGACGACCTTCCTGAAGTCACAGCCAGAGAGCTGGACTTGTTGTTGGATCAACCAGACCAGTTCTGTAGAGGTGCGTGCTTTGTGTATCAAAAGCATTTCTATCTTTGTGTTTGAGTTGTTCAGTCTGATGTGTTTGTATCAGGCCCACAGTGTGTTCCTCTCTTGTAATGTGTGCACCAGCCTACCAGGTCAAACTCTCTGTGGCCCCACTGTAAGTGCTCCAGCTGCCCCAAAGATAAGCTTTATTTTCAGAAGGTTGTTTTATTTCAGAGGAGAGCAGAGAAGAAAGTGCCCCCTGTTCTTAGCAAAGACAGCCCAAGGTCACGCAGCGTGTGCATGGCATGCTTTGTTTTCGCTTCTGATTCACTTCCTGCATTCAAACAGCGGAGAGTGGAAAGGGGATTTGTTAAGATACAACAATGAAAACAAGTGTCTTTAATAAAGCACGTGATTTGAATGCTATTGGGGTGAAATGTGTTCATCTGAACGTCTTGTCTATTTGTGATGTAATTGTGACATTGTGCCACCAAACAGACACGGAGAGGCAGACAGGCGACCAGACTGTTGCACGTGAGGGAGGCATGTCCCCTTTTGATCAGTGAGTCTTAGTCACTTAAAAGAAAACTCTACTTTAGCTCTGATGACCTTCAGAGCTATGTGAGCTTCATAGTGATACCATCAGTCAGCCTTTGTGTGAATGCTACAACATGTTAACACAGAGGCAAACAACAACAACAACAACACGTCACATGCTGTAGTTTCAAGAAAGACTTCAAACATAAACAGCAGCGACTGAATATTGTGTCATCAGTCAGTATATTTAGCTCTGTGTGTGTGTGTGTGTGTGTGTGTGTGTGTGTGTGTGTGTGTGTGTGTGT